TATGCTGTGGCTGCTCCCAATCTGTGGCACAGTCTACCTGTTAATATAAGAACTGCTCAGTCCATTGACAACTTCAAATCTTTGCTTAAAACTCACCTCTCTGCTCTGGCTTTTAATACAATTTGAGCTTGACATTTTGAAATTGTATTTATGCTCCTATTTATTGTGTTTTTATTGTGCTTCATTCTATATGTTATTTTACTTGTTGTTTTTACATTGTGTTTTTTATGCTTGTACAGCACTTTGGTCAACAAGGTTGTTTTAAATGTGCTATAGAAATAAAGATTGATTGATTGATTGATTGATTGATTGAGGAGTTTATTTATGTAGTCTGGTGCATGGCCATGTAAAGCCTTGTAAGTTAGAAGTAAAAATGTAAAAATGGATCCTAAAAGAAACGGGTAACCAATTCAAAGAGGCTGAAAGTGGAGTGATGTGAGCAAAGCGTTTTGTCTTTGTCAGAAGTCGGGCTGCACTGAGGCAGGTGAACAGGGCGTTGCAAAAGTCAAGGTGAGATGAAGTGATGGCATGAATGATTTGTATCACATCCAATCTGTTGACTCTTGTTGTCATCTGTCCTGTGTGCAATGGTTATAAAGGTTCAGAGAGACATCCTTATACTTCTTTAGAATAGGATAGGATAATACTTTATTGATCCCAGAGGGGAAATTTGGGCGTTGCAGCAGCACCAGAAAGTATTTACATAAAAAGCTTCAATATATTTTCTATGTATTCACATACACTGTTAATATACTTGTCACAGTAAAGAGGTACAGCTCGATCAGCAGCCAATTTACTCACAACTCATATTTTATACTTATAAGATCAAAATCCATTTCTACTCAAGTATATGAACTGTTTCCAAATTAAAGTGCTGAATTAAATGTCCAATCCCTGAGCATGTTCTTCATTCAAATATAAATTCACCTTTAATAGTTTTACAGGTCTCACCTGGTTTAGCCTCAAGACCCCCCTCTCTGACTTCTTCATGAAAAATCACAACTTTATAGTTTCTGAATTTTTTTACAAAAAATACATGGAAAGTTTGTGCTGTTTGGAACTCAGACGGTATGAAAAAAAAAAACAAACAAAAAAAAAACATGACAGAACAAAACAAGCATGTTTAAAAAGCACTTCACAGAATATTTCACACTTTTATTCATGCAAGTTGAAAAGGCCAGATGATCCACTCAAAAATTATTAAAATCAAATCTAAAATATCTGTTAAAAATAGTTTAATATTTCACATAATAAAAGTTGAATGAGTTTCATATGAATTAACCTTAAAAAATAATCATGACTCACAGTCTATCTGTAGAATCCTATTGATATTTTTACCTCAAATATATCACAGAGGAGGAGAAATAACTCTGAGTCCACCATGATCAACGAGGAGATCAGCTGAGGAGAATTAGAGATTATTTAATGTTAATTAATGTAATTAATGTGATGTTATTACTCAGTTGACAGTGATGATTGTTAAACCTATAGACAGAAAACTGTTCTCCACACAAACTCAAACTGATGTGATGTATTCAGTCTCTATCAGCACAGGAATGATTCATTATGTTGTTAGATTATTACATCGTACTATTATAAACCTCTAACTTTGTGTCCTCTTGATGAATTCTATCATTTGGTCTGACCTGGAGATCAAACCCACAACATCATCTGTGAGTCTGTGTGACCTCCTGAGTCTCCGACAGCCTCCGTGTGTTTACCTCCACTGAAAACTCTCCGATTAAAACTAAACAATCAAAGTATAAGGTTAATGTTTGTTTTATTTAAATAACTGATGTCTCTGCTTACACTATCATCCTTTTAAAACTTTCACAGGTCTCATTAAGACACTTTAGGAGCCGAAATGTGTCGGAAAATCCCCGCGTGTTGTCCAAACAGAGCGGGTATCATAGAGGTTTGAAGCCTGCTGTAATGAAATTAAAGAGACCTCGTCCACAAACATGAGCTGAATCTGAAGAGATGAAGGTTTTCTAACTGATGCGGGACGTTTTTTCCGTTTAAACAGATTCTCTGTGTGAGTTTTATCCCCATAAAGTTGAAGATAAAACACAAAGTGTCGCCACATTTCAGACAGGAGGAAGAGCGTCTGTGTGGGTTGACTCTTCACGGTTCTCATGTTCCCTATAAGTCCCGCCTCCTGTCGGTCTTCTCCACACGTCCAGTGAGAGATCAACATGGCAGAAGAAGCACCAGCAGTAGCAGCCCCGGTGGTGAAAACCCCGAAGAAGAAAGCGGCTCCCAAGCCCAAGTCTGATGGACCCCCCCTCCCGACGCTCATCATCAGCGCTGTGGCTGAGTCCAAAGAGCGCAAAGGTGTTCCTTATCGGCCGTCAAGAAGGCACTGGCCGCTAAAGGTGTGGATGTGGTCAAGGCTAACAAACGCATCAACGCCGCCGTGGTTAAGCTGGTAACAAACGGAACTTTGGCCCAGACTAAAGGCAGTGGTGCCTCCGGATCTTTCAAGCTCGCAAAGAAAGAGCCCAAAGCCGCCAAACCAGCAGCGAAGAAGGTCGCAAAGAAAGCTCCAGCCAAGGCAAAGAAGCCCGCAGCAAAGAAAGCTACACCCAAGAAGACTCCAGTCAAGAAAGTAGCAGTCAAGAAGTCCCGAAGAAGGTAGCAGCTAAGAAAACCCCGGTCAAGAAGGCAACCAAAAAGCCTGCTGCAAAGAGTCCCAAGAAGGCTGCTCCCAAGAAAGTGGTCAAGAAGACTCCAGTGAAAAAAACTCCAACAAAGAAAACAGCAGCAAAGAAGACTGCAGCCAAGAAGGCCAAGAAGTAAATCTTCACACCAGCATTCAATGCATCAAAGGCTCTTTTAAGAGCCCCCACAACTTCCACTAAAGAGTCTGTCCTCAATGATACTATTTATAATCATATTATCTATGTTTATAATCACCTCTGAATGTTGAATGTGGTCACATCCATGTGTGCAACTGATATGAATAGGAAGTCCAAGGTAGTGAATCAGATTATAAACTAATCCTTATTTCACGCTAGGCTACATCTTTACAACCAGAGGAAACCAGAATCTAGACAAGCAAAGACAAATAATAATTAAGGTCACAGACAGATTTACTTACAATAAGCTGTTAAAACACATAAATAAATAGATGAGTTTATTGTTGTGCTCTAACTGACCTACTGTTACATAGTGATGCAACCAGTTACATTAAAATGTAATTCCTATATGAAATATATAATGCACATAGAGAGCATATATACATTAAACCTCATCAGTGTAGCTCTCCTACTTTCTCTCTCTGTCATGAAGAATGCAGCTTTCCACTTTGACTTTATCTTTAGTATTTGTCAACAGTTATCTGATATTTTATTTTTTCAATAATTATCATTTAAAATCTTACCACCCATGTTCATTCTTCTCCACTTTATTATATCAAATTACATTATTTAAGTAGTAAATCTAATAAATCAACAGGACTGTAGCAAATCAGAATATAATCCTTGTTTCAGGCTAAGATATTTCTGAAAGGAAACCAGAATTTAGAACAATAATTATTAAGGACACAGAATGAATAAGACCTTAATCCTTTCCAAACAAATCAGATTCTAAAGGGTTGACATATTTCATAACTATATTCATAATAGACAAACCTGATATTAGAGTTTAAGAAATGTATGCATCCAAAAAACTGTGTAGTGAAAACAACTTTGACAAATATGAGCATTTATTTTCAGACCTTATGGCCTCATGTTTCCTTTTTCTCACTAACAAAGAAATCCAACCTCTTTGTTAAAGGCTACTTTTTTATTTTGCTGACCCAAAGGTAGACTGAACCACAGCGACTTGATAATGATGACAATTAATTTATCTGGATTAATTGTATATAGGACAAGATGTGATAATTTTCAAAGATACACATCAAATGTAGAACTAGAGAAAATAATGGTACAGTTAAATTATAATGTGGTTCTCTATTAAGAGCCACCACAACTTCTGTTAAGGAGTCTGCCACTGAACAAATCAGGACTTGATATTCACATTTAAGACATGCATCCAAGACAATGTGTAAGATGAAGCCTAATTCAATGCAATATGAGAAATACTTGTGTGTAACTGTAACCATCATGTCTAATACACAGTAGCCTACATTCATTCATGTTTATGTTTCTGAAGGTATGAAGCAGAAGTATTAAACAAATGAATTATTCTTAATGTGGTGATGGAGCATTTATCAAAATTATAGGTTGTTTTAATAACGTGCTTAAATTATCGACAGTATAAAATTGACTTCACATATAATAAGAATTTGCTCTTTTGTTGTGATGTGGTGGCTCTTAAAAGAGCCTTTGTGTTTGTTGAGGTCAGTTTTGAGTCTCTACTTCTTGGCAGCCTTCTCGGTCTTCTTGGGCAGGAGAACAGCCTGGATGTTGGGCAGCACTCCTCCCTGAGCGATGGTGACTCCTCCGAGCAGCTTGTTGAGCTCCTCGTCGTTGCGGACAGCCAGCTGCAGGTGACGGGGGATGATACGGGTCTTCTTGTTGTCACGGGCAGCGTTACCGGCCAACTCCAGGATCTCAGCGGTCAGGTACTCGAGCACAGCCGCCAGGTAGACGGGGGCTCCGGCACCAACACGCTGGGCATAGTTTCCTTTACGCAGCAGCCTGTGGACACGACCGACTGGGAACTGGAGCCCGGCACGGGAGGAGCGGGTCTTTGCCTTTGCTCTGGCTTTTCCGCCGGTTTTGCCTCTTCCTGACATGGTGTAGGTTAATCTCTAGAGTCGAGACTGAGAGAAATGTGCTCTAGGCGGACATGCCCTCTATTATATGTCCGCGGAGCGCGCGCGTTTTCCTGCCCCTCCAACCAGTAAAGAGGCTTCGAGCAGCGCAGAGGAGGGCGGCCCCACTCGCAGCTTCACTCCGCGATTTGAAAAACGTTTCTCCAATGAGCAGCGCTGATCGAGGAAGGGGCTCGCTCCCCCCGGCGGGACTGAGCTCCAGACGCGGCTTTGTCACCAATCAGAGGCTAGAGGTCTGAAGCAGCGTCACCGTCGGTATCCGCGCTCGGTTTAAAAGCAGCTCGTCTCCGGTCTCGACACATTTTCTCCTCAGAGAATCTAAACATGGCAAGAACCAAGCAGACCGCTCGTAAGTCCACAGGAGGCAAAGCCCCAGGAAGCAGCTGGCCACCAAGGCTGCCCGTAAGAGCGCCCCGGCCACCGGCGGCGTCAAGAAGCCCCATCGTTACAGGCCCGGTACCGTGGCTCTCAGAGAGATCCGTCGTTACCAGAAATCCACCGAGCTGCTCATCCGCAAGCTGCCCTTCCAGCGTCTGGTCCGTGAGATCGCTCAGGACTTCAAGACCGACCTGCGCTTCCAGAGCTCCGCTGTCATGGCTCTGCAGGAGGCCAGCGAGGCTTACCTGGTCGGTCTCTTCGAGGACACCAACCTCTGCGCCATCCACGCCAAGAGGGTCACCATCATGCCCAAAGACATCCAGCTGGCCAGAAGGATCCGCGGAGAGAGAGCTTAATCTGTCTACTGCCCCAAAACAACCACAACGGCTCTTTTAAGAGCCACCACATTTTACTCAAGACATATTCCTCTACTGTCTTTACTTTAAAGTGATGTCTTTATTATTTCATTTTAGTCCCATGTTGTCAACGAATTGGTTCATACAATACTGAAACCACAGTAAAATCTTAACTCACAAAGAAAATCTATAGAAACCATGGCGAGCACAACCATATTACAAAGTCATTACCATAATACACACTACATGTATATTGCGTTTAATTTATTCTCCATTTCTAATTGAATTTGAGGAGTTATTCATGTTAATCACCAGAGTTTGATAAACAGTACACATGTATATTTAATATGTATTATCTCATAAAGAGACATTGTCAATATTTAATCTCTCTCGTGTTTCTTGAGATGTGCAGATTTCTAGAATCATCGTTCAGCTTAAAGAACTTCAGTAAATCACCAGCACACACTATGAACTCAGGAATCACTTCATTATAGACTTTAAAAAAAAAAAATTCAATAAATAATTGAATCCCATAAAAACATTGAAGTTGACACCATTACTTCTACAGGCCTTTAAGTTTGGATCACAAACGGGTTCACTGACGACCACTTTGAATAAATATAACAGTGATTCATAAAGATGGTTAAGATGCTACAGGATGCTCCTCATACAGATCCATATCATTTTACTGATGATAAAATACTAACTTTAGTTATAGCCTGTAGATTAAAGGATACTGTACCTGATATTATAAACAATGATGAATGCAGGTTAAGATCCACCACATTAGTTTAATTATCTTTAAAGAGCACTATGGGAACAAATAATGACCTCTAAAGACACACTCTGAACCACCACAGACACACAAAGAGTCTCATATATGAAAACACACACCCCCACACACACACACACACACACAACAATTTGTAAAAAAAAAATAAACAAATCTAGTTAAAAAAGTGATTGATGACTGAGGAAACACGCTGTCCAAGGTGCTGAAATGATCTCTGCTGCAGCATGTTGTGTCATTTGATTAGAAACAGAATAAAAAGAGTAATAATCTTCCTCCATCTCAGTGTGAATGATTTCAAGATGTTGAATGTTTTCTTCACCTCCTGGTCAATGTGGAGCTCAGTCAGTCTAACAGGAGTCACACAGCAGCTGCTGGTCAGAGGGCGGCGCTAATGCTTCATAAAAATGAACAATGACATATTCATTGTGTCTCTGTTAGATAAAGAATGAATATTGATTTAAAGTCTTGGGACGACTTAAGTGGAGGTGAATGTGATTGTTCCAATACATGTCGGAGGTATTCTGACCGGATTGTTCTGATGACAGTCAGACATCCTGAACATTAAAGTGTGAAAATGAAACAAAATGAACAATAACAGATACATTTTTTCTCATTGAATGAGCTCATTGCTTATGTCCATTTTTAATAAATCAGAAAAGAAGGATGAATTGGTGCAGGATGATTAAAAGTAAACTACGGTGAGTCTGACTGAACAAACCTATTTTATAATTGTGAGAGTATTTTCAAGTGTTTGCTATGACATTTTTTCAATTCATTTTTTTAATACTTCTAACAATTTTCCAAAACTCTTAACACAGTTAGCACAACATTACAACAACCAAGGCCAGAACAATGGATTTTGTTGTTTTTATTGTAGATTGAAACACAAATATATCCCCTGTATTTATTCCCAATGCTCCTGAGAAACAGCTGATTTAAGTTATGCTAATAGATCAATCACAACTGATTCCCACATAGGAAACACACTCAGGTGTATAGAGTAAAAAATGACCTCTTTGGGCTGATCTTGTGTGGAAAAGAAACAATATAGAGCAACACAAAGAAAGTAAGAAAAATACCTGCACGAAGGAGAGAAAGACAAGTACCAGGACAAGGGAGAGGAAAGCCTGGATGAGGAGAAGGTAGCGGTAGAGGAGTTAGAATACATGGTGGGGTAACTGATGAAATAAGAGCTTCTATCATAGACCATGTCATAAAGCACGGGCTATCATACAGAGTGGCTGGTGAACGAGGACAGCCAAATCTCAGCCGGGTCACAGTGGTATCCATTGTCCAGATTTTTCAACAAATCAACAGGTAGGATATTTTATAATGGCTTCTCCTACTGCAAAGTGTAAATCATTTACCATGTTTTACTGTAAATGTAATCCTCCGGTTTCTAATATGTAACTGTAGTTTGTCTCTAAGGATTCAACGTCTACCTCCCTCAGGGGGCAGAGGAAAGCCCCTAAATGAGGAACAGGAACTTGCCATTATCAACATGGTGATGTCTGTCTCTGGCTTCTTTTTTTCATAAACTGTACATTATATAAAGCTACTATGATATGGGTCATTCCTTTTTTGTTTTGAATTCCTGCAGCAAAATAAACAAAATACATGTGTTTACTAAACCCAACAAAACAGAAATGTAGAGAGGCTTCAAGAGAAAACACAATCTATGATCAATATGTTGTAATGTACTGTCTATAAGGGCAGACCTGACACATGTGAAGTAATGCAGTTTCTGTTATTCCATCTGATATTAGTGTTTTTATGACATTGTGATGTGATTGACTAAATGTTCCTGTTGGAAGACAACATGTGTTAGTGTCTTGGTGGACATGGTGTGTTGTGTTTGTGTATTATTGTATTTTAAAAATGAGTGTTAGAGTTTAGTTTGCAATGGGTTTGGAACATGATATCACGATGAATCCAAATTACAGAAACTATCTACATGTCATCAACAGCTTCTAACTGAAGGAGACAAAATAAAACACTTCTTATTATGAATACTCAGTAACCAGGCTGTTCTGGAGAATCTGGAGGATTTTACTGACAATTATATGAATAGTTCAATTAATTTGATTTCCTTAAGAATTCATTTTATTCTAAATAAAAACCAACATTTCAACAGATAATTAACCTCTTTACAGTATAAATGATCAATGGTCAATTTCAAATCCTGGATACAAATTAAATAAATCTCACGTACGCTGAACAGTATTCATCATCACTGCATGTAAAATGATTTTACACTTTTAAATCTAATTAACAATAAGAAAACTATAAATACTGTAAACCTGATTCAATATTTATTTGAAGAGGGAAAATGTTAATGCTGTCTAATTTGTGTTTTGTTTATTAAACAGCTCGTGCTGCAGCTCCTCGGAGTGATCAACGGTGGTCGCTACTTTCTAAAACACTAAAGGACCTCAGACCTCAGCGCCGGTCACATGACTGAAAGCTAAGAATTGCTCAGTGTGGCGGTCAGCCAATCCTGTGAGAGCAACAGCACATGATGTTTGCTTCAACACCAAATATAAGCAGCTTTCTGACACTCACTTCAGTATCAGTTTTTGAGATCACCACTCAGAAAACATGCCTGAAACCGTGAAAGCGCCCAAGAAGGGCTCAAAGAAAGCCGTCTCTAAGGCCACCAAGACCGGAAAGAAGAGGAGAAAGTCCAGGAAGGAGAGCTATGCCATCTACGTCTACAAAGTCCTGAAGCAGGTCCACCCCGACACCGGTATCTCCTCCAAGGCTATGGGCATCATGAACTCGTTCGTGAGCGACATCTTTGAGCGCATCGCCGGGGAGTCCTCCCGTCTGGCTCAATACAACAAGCGCTCCACCATCACCTCCAGGGAGATCCAGACCGCTGTCCGCCTGCTGCTGCCCGGTGAGCTGGCTAAACACGCCGTGTCTGAGGGCACCAAGGCTGTGACCAAGTACACCAGCTCCAAGTAAACCCGCTGATAACCAGCAACAAAACGGTCCTTTTAAGGGCCACCCAACACTTTCTGAGAGCTGAAATCCTGAATGTCCTATTACATCAATAATCGATAATATCTGCATATGTGGCCCAGTAATTTATCATCGAGATATTCATTTTTGTCAAAGATAATTCATATTATGGGATGACTCACTATACCTTTTATTATTATTATTCACATTTATTGATGTTAGACAGAGGTCAAATGTGAGAAAGATGTTGTGTAGTTGTCACTTTAAAAATCCAGGAAAGATTACAAGTCCCAGCCTTGGTTATGTCTAATCATTATCTACATTAAATTAAGGGTTGAACGGAAATAATTAATAATGAAATCAGGCTTAATCAATAATTTTCTCAAGTTAAACATGTTCGTTAAAAGTTGTGGTCTTAAAATATCAATTTTCTCAAATTGATTCACAAGTTGTATTCACCTAATGACTGAGCGTTCACTGACAATAAGATAC